ACGGACAGACGGACATGGCTAGATCGACTCGGCTAGTGACCCTGATCAAGAATATATATACTTTATGGGGTCGGAAAAGCTTCCTTCTACCTGTTACATACTTTTGCACGAATCTAATATACCCTTTTACTCTACAAGTAACGGGTATAAAAAGCCTGGCGCCCAAATCATTACAGATTTTGTAAAACTGTAGATGTAATTTTGTCGTGTTTACTTATAACTATCGAAATGTAGAACAACATTTTAAAATAGAACCATTTATTAAAAAGTTATGAGCAAATAATGGAAGGGACTCGACTGCAGCATTGTTTTTATAATACTATTGTTCACTTGCTTTAAATCAGGGACCAAAAATAACTATTATATTATATACATATTAAATTTCGGATCTAAATTGGCCTCCGGGGCATTTCATTAAATTGGGTTCACACTTAACCATAAACAGGCTAATTAGTTGTCTTGCGCTTGACGCACACAAGTGTTAATTTTCCCAAAACAAAACACACACTCACATTCGGTTAATTAACACATTTTCGCAGTTTTCACAGTTCTTGCCGCTTTTCCGAGCGTCTTTTCTGTTTCTAGCAGCAAAAAGGGCCAGAAAAGGGGCAAAGAGCATGCAAAACCTGGGGGCAACGTGGCTTTCGATGTGTTCCGACCATAACTTTTGCGGCCCAAAGTCGCTGCCAAGGCTAAGGACCTCCGTGTATGCAAAGTCCCTTGGAAAAAACATAGCTGCAAATTCCCCAGTAAAATCCATGGCAACATGACCAGCAGGCAGCAGGCAGCGGTAACGAAAAGTTTTTGGACAAACCGGGCCGAAAACTTTCAAGATTCACAACTGCAACACTTGCAGTGTGTTGAAAGTGCACGCACACTCGCCTAATCCCGCACACAGATACCCAAATACCACACACGCACACCCAAACCCATTGTGCACATCCTGCATATCCTGCCTGTTTACCAAATGAGTTTTGTGCTAGTTTGTTTAATGCCTTGGGCCGCAGAATTTATGATGACAGGCGGGGGAGCCAGCGAGGAACGAGGGGATAGACTCCTATCTATCCGGAGAGTTTCTTGGTGTAATGGACAGATAACTGTTGCCTAATTGTTCTGACATTCATATGAAGCGAGGGTGCAGTCATAAAAGTTTCGTTCCATTTAATTCGTTCTCGATTCATGTACTTTTATTTTACTGTGAGGTTTGTGTCCTATTTTCTATGGCTGAATGCATTGGAAAACTTAATTACAAGTTGACCTTTAGTGTGGAAATAAAATGAAAGTTTAAATAAAAATGTTTGGAGTTCCAAACTCAAAATTACTTTACTTAAAAACAAGAGAGAGTGCTGTAGTCGAGTGCCTCGACTATCAAATACCCCTTACTGAGCTATATAAGTGTAAGAGAGATGGAGATATGTATGCAAGCAGCAAGCAGCGCCATCTAGCGGAAAATTCATTATTTGCTCATATATACAAGTTGGTAGGTATTATTATTCTCTCGAATACAATATACGAAACAATATACTCCACGAATAACGGGTATAAGTAGGTCTCACACTTAAGTAATGAAATAATACTTTTTGGCCAAAAGTTTGACAAGAATTCCTTTCAGTTCAACAATTATTTAATTGTATATCAATTTGCTTGCATTTATTTTCGGATTAAAGCAAGCACTGTTATTAATTTTTGCATTCCAAATTAAATGCGACACGTTCTCTGAACAATTGTTATTTGAGATTACAATTAAATTTTGATTGCCAAAAGCAAAATGTGTTAGTTTATGGAGCTTTTATTAAGGCTCTTATTTGGAATGCGGTTGGCCGTAGGTGGTTGCACCTGTTGCCCGGACAAAGGTGCTACCGAATTATGTTGGTCAGTGGCGAAAATATTTCAGCACACGCGGGGCGTAAATTCCATTTCATTTAGCTGTTAATTCAATTTTATTTGTCACATTCTGCATGTGCCAGACCAGGCATAAAGGATTTTTGGGGGGGACGCATTTGGGGGAGATACAATTATTGAATGCCGCACGTAAATTAACCCAGAAACGTTTTCGTGCATGAAATGCCAAAAATTTAACTAAAATTATGCACCTTTATGCGCGAGAAGGAGGCGGAAAATACGAGACAGAGGCGAAAAAGCCACCGAAATGAGCGGCCTTTTGAATGGGAATTTCCAACTCCCCGGCTGGAATGCATAAAACGCTGATTGCAGCGTGCCTCACCCCCGTTTCCCCCCTTTTTTCCCCCTTTTTCCAGCGAACGTGACTGAGTTTACACGCAAATAAATACAAAACTCGGTGGGGGCATCCAGAAAAAAGGGCTCTGTGGGGTTAAGCAGCTAAGCAAAAGAAGTGCAAGTGCTGGAATACAAATATGAAATGCGGCTGCCGAAACAAAAATGCAATTTATTTGCCAGCCCCATGAAAAAAATAACTTTTATCACGTGCCTGAAGTGCAAAAGGAGAGAGAGAGTGGGACCAACACCAGCGGCCGCCAGGTGGCGCTAGTCAGCGAGCGGCAAAACGGAACCGGAAATGCCGCCGCTGACAGCAAAGCCTGTTTAAAAACGAAGGAAAGACACAGCTGCCATCGCGTTATCTGCATTTTGTTGACTCTACATCCTTTTTGCCGCTTCCCTTCCTCCTCATCGCGGCATTATGCATGAAATATTCTCTATGTTTCGTTGTTTTTGCTGCTCCTGAACTCAACGGCCAAGGTGAGATAACTCGGGATTACCCGGAAAGAAATGGTAGAGAATGTTTCATAGTGCAGGAGAAGAGTGTAGATTTTCGAAGCCAAAGTTTTCATATTGAAACGGACGAATCGAAGGAGAAGTTTGCCATAAAGCATTAAACTTGGGCCAAATTCCCATGGCAACTTTGAAGTTTATGAAACATCTATATAATACATATTTTCTTTTAAACCTAGTAACAACACTAAGAAACATTTTTAATTGGAAAATTTGTTGTTTTTTTATGGATTAAATTCAAAGAAAATAAAAATCCACGAAAGAAGCTTAAACATTTTTGATCATAGTAAAATTTGTTGCCATACGAAGTGAGTAAATTATAATTTAGAACATGGAAGTTGTGGCATATAAAAAAAAAAGAAACTATCCAAAGCCGAAACTATTTCGAATAAATGCTTATGCCTTCACTTCTTCCGTCTCACTTAATTCCCATAACAGTTTTGTTTTAAAATAGTCTTAAAATCAGAGAAAACCCCTCAAAGGAGCAGCCAATAAAAGAAGAAAGTGGCCATTCAAAGGCATTGGAGTGAATGGCATAGCTCCTTTTTGCTGCCATTTAAATGGGATCCCGGGTCATTAGGTGCCATCGAAGAGGAGCCAACGTCAAAGACGAAACCCAATCCTTTGACGGCGGCCAAAGTCAAAAGTCCGGCATTAGTGCAAGCTGATTAATCACATTTGAAGGGCTTACATTTATGGCAGATGTGTGTTCGTACCAGGAAAGGGGCGGAAAACACATGCAAATGTCACATTAGCCTTATACTTTAATTAATTTCTAATCCCAGCTCATTGAAGGCGACTGCAATTAGATGACGATGACGATGCCGTTGCTCGTAGGCTGGCAAGGATTACAAGGATATAACCATTTGGCCCCAACATTTGTCAAACACCACCCCAGCCAAAGGATATCAATTTGTGCATGTGAGTGTGAAGTACGGAATTGGCCGCCCATCAACTACAAATTAGACATTTGAAATTTAATCTTCATTGCGAGTTTTGGGGCATTTCGATTTCGAAGAGGGGAAGGGGGCACATAATTAAGCTGCAACTTTGTGGGGATTATCCAATGCGAATTCCGAATAACCAAACCACAAGCTTTTAACATTAAATGCGATGAACTATTTGGGTAAGTTGGTAATCCAACATTGCGGTGGGGCAAATAGTTTAAGGGTCTCATAAATGTGGTTTTGGCTTGTGAATGCAATACTAGGGAAGTTACTATTAATGTTACGGGTGCCTTATTATACGAAGATATATTAAAGTATTTGAGAAATTAACGGAAATTAAAAGTTCTGCTGTTATGTTCTTTATATCTTAAGTATATCACCAAAACCAAGAAATAAAAAAAATTTTTTATGTATTATTTTAGCCACCACTTAGCCCTGAAGCCTATTTCCTTAATTCCAACCTAAGAAATTGTCATTTGAAGCGTAATAAATTATTTATTATCCATAGCCAACAGCACAACAAGTTAAGAAAGGCGTACAGCGAATTCTGGGAAATCCTGCATAGCTAAATGGGCAAAATGTGTTAACGAACTGCCACGCCCACCGATTCGAGGCACTTTGATTTGTGCGTAGGGCAATTTATTTGCCACAGAAGCCGGCTGCCACGCCCCCAGCAGCCGCCGCCCTCGCCCTTCTTCTGCTCCGGGAGGCACTTTACACTCAAATTGTGTTAATTTGCATATTGGAAACTTTTGCCTAATTGAACATAATGCCACTTAATTAAAGTTAAGACAAGTTTTTGACGGTAAAATGGTTTTGGGCCCGAGGTGGTCGGGGATGTCTTGGCAACTAAAAGTATGGCCAACATTTATGGCAGCTTGTTGTTGAAATTTACGGCAATTAGTTTAATATGAGCAGATTATGAGGGACACAGGACGCAATAAAATCCCTTCGGCAGTGGGAAATTAATTTTTGGGGGCATCCCCAAAATGAGGCGGCACTCGGAAGAGCAGACATATGGAAATCAATTAGCACTTGGAAGTCGGAGGCCTGGCCGTAAATGTTTAATTGCTGTTTGTGTTTGGCTGCCTAATTGTTAGTTGCTTAAATATTTACTAACAATTAGATGGGCTGAAAAGGCAACATGTCAAGGAGAAGGAAATGATTTCAAAGGCGTTTACCATACTTTATTCAATGTTTGTTAAACTAAAATGTAAAATTAGGTGAAGCTTAAGTTATAAAGGTATTTTCCATTAAAAATATAATCAACTAATTATAATTTGTTGTCTATTCTGCAGATTTTTAAAAGTCCTCCACGATCAGCGCGGTTCCAGCTAGGAGAATCTGTTCCGACGTTCCCGTCACAATATCAACATTCAGGTGGCAAAGCAACTTGTCCCGACAGCTTCGAGAATATAAAGGCAATTTGGGGTTGGACTCAGTTTTTTGTGAGGGATACAACGAATTTTTTCCATATTTTGAAGAACCAGCCATCGAATGGGCAGCGTCTTCCTTTATTTTGTAGCTGATGTAAAAGGGGTTCGATTTGTCCATTCCACTCTTGGCGCCATCAATCTACAATGGAAATTAAGATGTAACAATTAAAAAAAATGTTATTTCTTACATAAAAAGATTTAAAAAGTAATATAATGTTATTTCTTAAATAAAAAGACTTAAAAAGTAATATAGTAATTTGGTTAAATATAATAATGGGAGTGCCACAGAAATCGAGTAGCACTGAAATGGCCTGAAATTTTTATTGATTGAACATTTTTTTAACATTATTTGTTATTTTCTTATAAATGTATTTCTTTTACAAATTTTAAACGATTCTTTAATGTTTTTAAACTAATATATTACACATTTGAGTGTTGGTCTAAGTTATAATGATTGCAGAGATTTAAAAACCTTGAATTTTTTTGAAAACTTAAAAAATTGTAGAACTTAAAAATCTTTAAAATTCTAAAAAACAACCAAAATAATTTTTTGAGGAAGCGTTTTTTTTTACCGTTACACTCACATAGCGAGTGCATACTCCACAGTCGATACACACTCCACAGTCGATACACACTTCACAGTCGATACACACTCCACCATTAGATTACTTTACATTTACTCTAATCTACATTAACATTTTTTTATTATTAAATTTTTTGAATCTGTTTTTGATACAAATTACATTTTAAAGTATTTTCAATATGCCAAAGCTTATTACAAATTTTAAATTACTATTACAGTGCAATAAATTGCAGGGCGAAGTCTGGACGTTTTTTGGTATATTTATTAGGATAAAAATGGTGTACGAAGTATTTTTTTATAGACGGTATGCGGTCTCACTTGTACCAGGTCTAATCAGTGTTGCCAACTCTTAGGTTTATAAAAAAGCTAAACTAAAAAAATCTAGAAAAAGCTAAAGTAAAAAAAGATGGTCATAAAAATTAATGGAACTTATAAAAACCCGTGGTGACACAATATTTTTAGAGGACGCGAACAGGACAAAATGATCTCTCATGGATTTCTTCCGATAGTTGTGCTAAACGCGTATGATCACTGATCATGATAAACCAATTCTTGGACGCCACCCCTTCTCGATACGTGATACATAGCTGATGGCATTTAGAACATCTTACATACTGTTCAAGCCCTTAACCTTTTTAAGTTTTTTTGCAGTTGTATTTTCCTTCCTTTAGCCGCCATTTTGACTCTAAATGTCGTTATGTCCAAATTTAAGAGTGTTAATTCTTTATCTTTACTACGTGGTAATGTACATCAGAAGAAACATGAGTGACAATTTAAAAAAGCTAAAGCTAAGAATGTTTTGCTAGGAAAGTAGCTATTTCCCGCTAGCCGCTATTGCCAACTCTAAAGCACTACATCTAGTGTGAAAAAAGCCAAGTAGTCCGCACTGGCTCGCAGCTCTAATGTGCCGGAATGTCAATCAAATAAAAACAAAAAAAAAGCGGCGTGAAAACTGAAAAGAACGGGCAGCCAGAGCAAATTCGCACGTTAATTTCGATGCATTGAACGGAAACGGCGACCCGGAAACAGGAGCCTCAGGATTTCGGACACGGGAGCCATGGAAACGGCCAGGATGGAGACGGCGATGGAGACCCATTTTATGGCCAAAATGGGGAAGGTGAGACACAAAGACAAGAAGCCAGCGAGAAAAAGGGGGAGGGAGGATGCCATCAGACCCCAAAATAAGTAGATATAGGTTTAAGGATCTGGTTTTGGTTTTTTAGCTAATAATCTGGTGATAGTGTGTTCCCAATGGACTGGAAGTTTTCTTGAATCATGTCAAAAACCTCACAGATATGAAAACTGAGCAGATAAATCCGTTCAAAAACTTGATAGAATTTTGAAATAATCAAGTTATAAAATTGATACTCTTTTAAAAAAGGCCCTATTAGAGTATATATGGGCAATTCTCTGCTGTTGCACGCGACGTTCGTACGCTTTGCAGGTGAAAAATACTATCTTCCAGTACTTCTTTTCCTTTGGCACTAGGCTCAAATTAAAGGTCTTAATTAGCACTAAAATATGTGCTAGGGGTGACATTGGGACATTTTTCATTTTTAAGATATATAAAAAAAACCAAGACTTTTGCACGCGACACGAATAGAAGTTACTTTTTTGACTTCCTGCCTAACTTTCGATTGTAACGAAACGTGAAGGAATATTTTAATGCAGTTAATTTCAGGGTGTTCCTTGGTCTTTCTTCTTTAAAATGTATTTGGTTTGAATTCAAAATATTGAGTGGTTAATTTTTTATTAGTATCGAAGTGACTGTCACACGCTACATGTCGCACGCGACAGTTTTTTCCGTCATTTTCTTAGGTGGTTTTTCTGCAACCTTAAGCCTAGTACTCAGTACGACGAAAACTGCTAGCTAAGCATAGGAGAAAGCGAGAGGCAAATAGGTAGCTAAAGCCCTTAGCCGGGGACTTTTTCCCACCTCGGTACTCAGTTGAGCTAAGGAAATAGTAAGAAAATACCACTAAAATACTAGATTTAGCGGATGAATTCTGATGAACGCCTTTAGCCGCGGCCCAAAGAATAAAAAATTTGATCTTTGGCTGTGTTTGTGCAGAAGCGGTGTGCCAATAACATATTATAAATAGAATGAAAACCCCAAAAACCAATGGAAAACTGCCTGTAGGAGTTGTAGCAATACATATCCTCATTCCAACAGCAAATTTAAAGCTTGCGACCTAGGTCGGCTAATCATTTTGTAATATTTTAAAATTGGCGCCAGTTAATTTGCTTGCTGAGAGTAAGACCATTCTACATGCATTGCGGATGAACTCCGAAAACTTCGGTCACCCTAAAATATTAATATTTTTCGACTAGTAAAACTCTTAGCCGAACTGAGTACTAGGCTTAAAGCCTAGTTAAGCTAAGAGTTTTACTAGTCGAAAAATATTAATCTTTTAGTGTGACCAAAGTTTTTGGAGTTCATCCGCAATGCATGTAGCACGGTCTTACTCTCAGCCAACAAATCAACTGGCGCCAATTTTAAAATATTACAAAACGTTGAGCCGACCTGGGTCGCAAGCTTTAAATTCGCTATTGGAATGGCAATATGTATTGCAGCAACTCCTACAGGCAGTTTTCCATTGGTTTTTGTGGTTTTCCTTCCATTTATAATATGTTATTGGCACACCGATTATGCACAAACACAGCCAAAGATTAAATTTTTTATTCTTTGGTCCGCGGCTAAAGGCGTTCATCGGAATTCATCCGCTAAATCTAGTATTTTTTTGGTATTTCCTTACTGTTTCCTTAGCTCAACTGAGTACCGAGGTGGAAAAAGTCCCCGGCTAAAGGCGTTAGCTACCTATTTGCCTCTCGCTTACTCCTATGCTTAGCTAGCAGTTTTCGTCGTACTGAGTACTAGGCTTATACGTCAAAAAAACCGTTTAAGAGCCACTTTAAAAAATACTAAAAAAATACCAAAAAATGTCTTTTTTGTCCATATAACCGGTATTACCCTGTAAAATTATCCAAGGATACTCATATTACTTAGCTTAGTTGAGGATCCATCTAACTAGAATCAAATATCAGTGTAAAATCATGTAGAAATATGTTTTTTTCAAGTTTTACGCTTTTTGGCTTGGTTGACATCCCCAGAGAATTGCCCATATGTAGTTTAGTAATTTGAGATAATAATTTTAAGTTTTCTTGAATCAAGTCAAAAACCTAAATCGAATTTTGAAAACATCAAGTTATGGAATGGATACTCTTTTGTCTTGTTTGTATTTAAAAAGATCGTATTAGAGTATATATTTAATTTAGTAATTGGAGATTGATCCTAATAATATTTAAAATTTCAAATATTGGATTTTCAATGAACATTTTTATCATAAATAAAAATTAGTAGAAAAAAGACTTTCCTCAAATTACAAACCGTTTTAGGTTAGATCAAAGGTTTTCACAAGTTGTTAAAGTTCTCTAAGAGAATATTATAACTTTTTTACTAACCTTCAAAGGAGCCAATTTGAGTACTGTATCTGGGGAATCCCCACCAGAATTCAGTGGCCCGCAAGAACGCAACTCCAGACGTTCGGTGGAGACAGCCAAATTCCGAGACTGCAGCAACTTTAAGCAGGCCAAAAGGTTCTCACAGTTAAAGACGTGGATGAGGTTGATTTCCTCGCCAAATGTCAGATGCAATTGCTCTTTAAATCGCAGCTCTGCAGCCTGGGCTCGAACAATGAGGGCTCTCAGAAAATCGACGGCACTGTTGCTGCCAGGACCACTCCATAGTTTCAGCCAACTCGCAGGGATCTAAGAAATACAATTCATTATTATTAATAGTTACGTTTCGAATATACATATAAGACAGATTTTTTGCCCACCTGCTGTTCGGCCAGGGCTTTCAAAGTACTCCCATCCACGTCCTGCGAGTCCTTGAGCCAGGCATGCATCTGGGATAGAGTTTGGTGAACAATGCCATAAAGATCTGCTCCCAACTTCAGTTCAGCCAGCACGAAAAGTGCCCAGGGCGATTCCCCGGCATCGACCTTTGACTCCTTAAACGTTTGAATTATGGTACAGGACCCAGCTAATTTCCTCCACAGATTTAGCAAGGGCTTAATTTGATGCTCCAGCCTTTGACGATCAGTAAGCTGATCGCTGTCCCTCGACTCTCCTGAATCTTCAGCTGATCCCCGGCCGTAGTGCAATCCCCTCAGCTCCTTGATAACCCTTTTGGCCTGTTCGATTTCCCGTTGCTGTTGCGCCTGATTGGCCAAACCGTACATACTAGGCTCATCCTGTTCGGGGAGCTTTTCCAATGCGCCATAATAGTCCTGCAGTTGACCACTAGTGGGAATGGATAGGGATAATCCCAGCGGTGACCAGCGACTGCTCAAAACATCAGCGGAACAAAATTGATTCAGATAGCTCCTGAGTATCTCCAAGTCCCTCGGGTTATTGATTCTGCCACCAAAAGCTAGGGCTTCACTGAGTCGTTGCAGTAGCAGCCAATCGCATTTTCCAGAATTTAATTGCTGATCCATCCATCGAAGCATTCCCAAAGCCGCCTTGAGATCCGCCTCACCGAATTCATAGTATTTCGACCAACCCTGTGGGATAAATTGACGTCTTTGTTGCAGTACTGCGGTGAGGATAAAGTAAACCAGTCGCATCTTGAGACTTTTCGGTTGGTTCTTGAAGCTCTGATCCTGTTCAGCTGCATAGTTCTGAAGCAGACGCATCACAATCTGCTTGAGTCCTTTCGGCTGTTCATACCGCACCTTCAGGCACTTGTAAATGGCCGACTCGGAGAATCCTTCGGTGGATTCGCACAGCAGCCAGAGACGAAAGTCTTTGGACTTTTGCATTTCATTTAGTTCCCTTTCCATTTGGGTGAGGAACTCGGGCACCAAGTGGACATTCTTCACACACAACCAGTGGCCATCTATAGCAGCCTGTCGCATTTCCCCGAGAACTCTCTTCTCAGCACCCTTTCCAATGGCCATTTCCCTGTACTTTTGATTGGCCCACTTTCTCAACTCGGTTGTGGGATCATTTTCCGCCTGGCTTATCATCAGAATGGGTCGATCGCAACTGCTTTGCTGCAGCAACTGCTCCACAGAAGGCTGAGTGGATGCATCTGGGGAAATTCCCAGAAGATCATTGCTCACTTTTCGCAGTTGGGAGAGCATCAAGTCGGGTCGGAAAATCTGAGCAATAAGTACACGCTGGAAACTGGAGCCCAAGGCAGCTGTAAGTTTATAAGAAAAAGTGTTAAAGCTAATTATATTAACTAGAAAATCTTCTTAACTTACGCAGCACATCATCAGCTTGGGCCTCGATGAATCCTCGCCAAATATAGTCCTTCTCCAATTGAAGTTTTCCCCGCAAATCCGGGAACAACTGCAGCAACATTGCCAACTTTAATTGGGCCTCCTTGGTCATGCAATCGGGCAGTCTTCCCAACTGATTTAGGAGCACACTGCCATCGGAACTGCCCATGAAGTTGTTTACAAACAACTCCCACTCCTTGTGGTTTAATCGATCGGGATATGCCTGATGACAAACCCACAGAGACAATGCTAACTGACTTTCCCTTGAAGTAGCTCTAGCCAAATTTAAGTAAACAGATCTTACTAGCAATTCATAGACCTTGGATTCGTCTCGCTGATTCTTGGAGAGGGCGCCCAAAAAGAGTTCTATGTAAACCAAGGCGGATAGTTCATAACCCTGGATGAGACCTGCATAAAAGGCGGAGGCCTTGGAGCAGAGTTCCCTCAAGGAACCGAACTGGGCGAGTAGAGTATCCCTAATTTGGCCACTCTGCTTAAGGGCCTCCTCAATTTGGGCGCTGCTCTGTTTGACCTCATTCAAACTGGCCAACAGTTGCTCATTTCGCAGGATGTCTCCCTCTGATTTTGATAGTTGTTCGAGCAGTTTATCCTGCATATCCATTCGCTGCTTCAGAAGATCTCCCTCCTTTTGCAGCAACTCTATCCTCTGTTGCTCCAACTCTGCGTTTTTAAGGACAATCGCCTTGGACATTAGCTGATCGGCCAAACCAGCGGCAGTAACCGTGAATTTCAGAAGGTTAAGTTGACTTCTCTGCTCTTCGGGTAAATCCAAACGATGCGATTTACTTATCAGCACCAGCTGGAAACTCTCGTGAAGATCCACCAACTTGGAGCCAATGGCCAGTTGTCGCTTGTTGAATCGCACAAAAACATGACCCTGGAGAAGTTGCAGGATCGGAGGACGCAGTTGCTCGCAATCGGTGACCAGCAGAGTCTTTCCGAATCGAACAGCCAGCTCCAGTTGATAGGACAGTCTCTCGTTGCCGTGGGTGGTCAACTCGCAGGCTCTTCCGCTTCCCTTGAGATGGGCCATCAACCAATTGGCTGCCGTTTGTGTGGGGTCCAAGAGCAGTGGAATGGGACAGGCTCCGTACGGTAGAGATAGCATTTCCCTGAGCAGAGCAGCACTCTCGATGATCTGGGCATCTCTGGCCAGTCCCTGACTCTCCCAAATAATTTGCTGCTGCTCCGTGAGAAGTGATCCGCGAAGATCGAAGTTGGAGGGCAGATGAAAGTCCGCCGCCAGACGTTTGAGAGAGGAGCTGTGAGTTTAAGTAATTATTATTATGTAAAATACAATGAAAACTATCTATTCTCACCTCCTTTGTTCTAGGCCCAATCCCGCGTAGTAATTCACAGCCACAGCGATCAATAGAGTCTTTCCATCGAGCGTCTTGTGGGCCCTTTTAAGCTCAGCCAACTGATCACTCCAGGTGACATATTCAGCGCTTAGTTTGCCCACCAGGAGCTCTGCCGCCTGCAAGGTTCCACTGGCCTCCTGGAGTTTTAGCTCCAGCACGGCTGCCTCCTGTGTGTAGGTCTGCAATTTGGCCGACAGCTGCTTGACCCTCTTATCCACATCATCCAATCCACTGGCCAGCTCTTGCATTTCGTCCTCGGCTGCATTGAGGTTCTTCTGCAATTCGTTCTGTTCCCTTTCGAGGGGCTTGATGCTCTGGATCACCCGGGAGTACCGAACACTAGCCTGCACCCAAGCAGCCAAGGGAGCAGCGGCGGCCGAAGCTCGCTTGGCGTTCTTCGACTCATAGGAATCACCTTTGGCCAGAAGTAATCTTTCGACGGCTTCGCAGTTTTCCGGGCTAATTCGGGCCGGATCCAAGGATCTTATGTCCTCCTTGACACCGCGCTTGGCCAAAAATGTTTTCATGCTGTTCCACGAAGTGTCTCGTATGCCCATCAATCGAAGTACGCCCTCTAGAATATCCCTCACTGCCTCTGGAGGAGCTCGCAACGACCTGATTTCGGATAAGGCTTCCGATTTGATTTGACCCACTGCATTGCTAGCTTCTGCCAATATTGGTTCAACCTCTGCCAATTCCTGTTGGATTTCCCTTTGTCGAACCTTCAGCTGTTCGCTGCTCTTTTGCGTTTGCTGCTTCAGTTCCAGCATGCTGGACTTTTGCTCATTGGCGTTTCTCATCGTGGACGAAATCATTTCCAGAGCTTCGTTGGCCAGCTGTCGCTTTTCACCCAACGCCCTTTCCTGATCGGCTGCATTCGACTTTAGGGTATCCACTAGTCCATGAGCAGAGGCCAATTTGTCCACTCCCATTTGCAATTTGCTCAACCGCTGATCGATTTCATTGGCTGCATTGCTGTACATGTGGAAATAGCTGCGGATGAGCTGGTAATATCTCTGGGCGGGCTCATCTGGGGGCAGCTCATCCGATATATCTGCAAAGTGACTGCAAGCGGGCACTTTGGCACGCCCACTTCCCACTGATTCATTTAGCAATTCGATATATTGCTTGGGCAGCATGGCAAGTGATTCCCTGGACTCTCCCCTCACATACAGCAAATCCATCTGGCGATGCAGGGCAGGAAAAGTGTTTAAGTAGTCCTGTACTTTCGCACTACCGGGATCCAGGACTATGATGATGTGGAGATTCTCTCGAGCACCTAGAAGTACATAATAGTTAAATCAGGAAAAATCTTAAAACATATTTACTTACGATTCATAAAGTATGTTCCCATAGATTCCTGGTATCCTTCGAGCTGGGCCGCCTGCTTCAAAGTGCTGGCCACCGTTTCGAGATCATCGCCGAACAGCTCAAGGATCTCGCTTCCTTCGAGCAGGGCCTCAATGGGCTTCAAAATGTCCGGCACATAACTCAGCCAACAATGCTCGATCAGTAGGTAACTCATCTGCTGCTCCAGGGCAGCTGTCTGCATGGCCACTTTAAGGTCGTTGTAGAACTCTGAGAGATCGTAGGAGGATCCGCCCTGCAGAGTTAGCACCTTGGCCTCCTGCAAAGTGGCTGCCGCATATATGGCATCCAGGTGGCGTCCCCCCGATTCGCCCAAAATAAGCATGTGGGCATCGGTTCGTGATAAAACTCTAGTTATCCTAGCAGTGTGGTTTAAAAGTTCCTCTGTAATGGGTGCCGTGATGCTGTAGTTTTCGTTATCTACGGGAAATGAGAGAGTTACGAGTTTATATAATAACAAAAAATGGTTGGGAAAATAATTAAAATGTAGTTTAATAGTTTATTAGGATTTCTAAAAGTATTACTTTTAAATATCACTTAATTTAATCACACATCATTTCTGAATAATATTTTCCATTTTAATACAAGTTATCTTTTCGAAATGTACTATTCTGTAAGACATCATTGAAGTTGACTCCCATGTAAAACTTCCTATTTGGTCTCCTTGTATCTCTATTTTCCTACCTCTACTAAAATACATTTAAATTAGAACCGATGCTTAGACGAAATTCGATGATTCTGTGTACTTTCAGTGGATGACCCCCGAGGAGGAGGCGCGCCAAAAGTTCATCATGCGGGAGCGGGACCGCGAACGGAAACGGATCAAGCGCATGAATCCCGAGTACCGGCAGATGGAACGCGAACGGGATCGGTTTCGCAAGCTGACGCCCAGGCCCAGTGTAGTTATCCCCGATTACCCCAAATTATCATCCATCTCCTCTTGTCTTGAAACTGCGGAATTACCACTGGGCAACTTCAACTGATGCGTGAGCAGAACTCTGACATTAAATCTTTTTATTGGAATAGGGGCATAGTAATTCCTTTTAAACAGGTTTTTATAATATTTACTTTAGGGGTTTTCTGGTATTAAAAGCCGATATTTAATTTAAAATTTTTAAATATAATTTTATTCAATTGATAGATAGATTTCATTTTTTCGATAGATTGATTTTAAAGAGAAATACTTGTAATTATTCTTAAACAAATAACTCTAAAAAGATTCTCGTCTCAACAGCTCTAAAAAAGTATTCAATACTCACTGCAAATGGTCACCTGACGTTGAACTTCCTCCAGCCATTCGTCATGGGTTAGACAATGCAGTTCGCCACGAGACTTTGGAGATTTAGGCACGAAAAATACTTTCTGAAAGGGTAGAGCTCATTAGCTTAGCTTTCATTTAGGAAATCGAAAACAGAACCTACCTCCTTGCCGTAATATTTGCGCATCGTTTGCTTGAGTATTGCCTCGAATTGCTGGACATGCTCTTCGCTAATCAATCTATCGCGGAACATGCCCAAAAGTTCGCAGTAGAGAGCCTATAAAAGGACAAATTTTCAATCTTATTAGCCATGAAGTGAGAGAAAATAGTTTAGTTTAAGACAAGGTAGTATAGGAGTAACATATTTATAAAAAATATTTAAAAAAGGGATTTGGATTTCATCCGATATCGTATTTTAAATTCCAAAGAATATGATTTATGTATATTTTAAATGGTTTGTTTACTCTCTTTAATTACAACTTTCTGTAAAGTAATCATAATTTTGTCAGTTAGTTTTGTGAAGACGGATCACCATTTTTTTCTCACTACAACCATACCTCATTAAAATCACTGGCGGGATAAAAGACGAGGGAGTCCAAGAGCTTCATGATGCATTTGGGACTGAACTGGTAGTGCGCCTGCCTGCCTCCCGCGGTGGTAAAAGTCGCCTGCAGCTAAAAGAGGGCAAAGTCAATTAGCAGGTGGTGCGCTGATGAATTCCCAAATGGGAGGTGGAGGTGAGGATACCAACCTTCTCGAAGCACTCCATCAGGCTCTCGCTGACGTGCTGCAAATTGACCCCTGACCCTCCCCGATTCGCCGAACCCCTGAAGTGCTCTTCCAAAAGAGGTTCCAATCGCCGCTGGATGATTTCTAGCATATCCTGTTTCGTGGGTCGCGAAACTCGCACAAACTGATTGATGGCAAAGTAGCGCGGTGCGATATTGCCGGGATTTCCGCTAATGGAGGCGCATATCTGCAGCCCGCTTACCCCAATCCATTCGAGATTCTCGGCGTAAAAGCCTGCCCGTTGAGCCAGTTGGAGTAGGAGTTCCACCACTTCGCAAGCTCCCCAAGAATCCTGCTGGCAGAGGTCCAAGTTCTTCATGAACAGCACTAATCTCGCCTGTTTCGGTCGGTACTCTCTGCCCTTGATTCCACTCACAGTGACGCAGTGCGTCCTTAAAGTGTGCAGAATATAACTGGGCGTTAGTTGGGTCGAGCAGTTTATGGTAGCCAACTGATAGCCCGAATTTTCCAGCACTGCTCTTTGGAGTAACAGGGTTTTTCCCGATCCACTTGGACCTATTAGCATAAATGGCGGGATTCGATTACCCTGAGCATTTAGCAATACTTCTAGTGTGTCCATATACGATTTCATGTAAGATGTAATTATTAATGAAGAGCCCTTCTCAGGTAATTCCATTGCATCCACTGGATATTGCTCTAAGGAATTTCTGCGGCTATCATAATAAGTCAGTTCGGCGTAGTTAGGATTGGCTATATAAAGATTAGCACGTTTTAGGATCAGTTGGGCGAACTCCCGTTGCCTATCGTTGGGTATATAACCAAAAAGAGCTCTAAGGGTTGCTGCTCCATATTCCTCTAGAAATTGTGAGCCATGTAGTTGTAACAGCAGGGATCGAACGAGGTGTGCACGGTTTATACCGGGTAAATTACTGTTAAAATATAAAAAAGTATTTAACATATTTAGTTGATTAAAGGAGATAATTTCGAACTTTAGGACATTCACCTCAATAAATGTTGGCTTTCCACCCAATCCACAGCATATTGAAAGTTATCGTCCACGTAATTCTGCAAAAGATCGCCATAGGGCTCCTTCGACAGCTCATGCTTAAGTATCTCCTCAGCGGGATAGTAGTCATAGCTAATTAAGAATATTAAGGATGAAAGTTTTTGATAGTTTTTAAAAATAACTGAACCCACCTCATGTTGACAATACCCATTCTGGAAATTGTGGCCGGCGAAGCATGCCTCACATCGTCTGTTTCGAAGATAAAGTTGACATTGTTCCCGAATTCAATTCTCCAGCCCGAAGGCAAAGTCAAGAGCCTGCAAGGAAGAATTTTTTATGATAAGAATGTTGTAGAGCTCAGAATGCCTGGTTTCAAGACAAGTTGGGAGGAGAACACACTACCGTTTAAGACCACGTTTAGCCACACAAGAACACTGCCCGAGATTCAGATTCAGATTCAAATTCAGATCGAGACACGACCCCTTCTGCTGACTGCCGTTTGCCAACCAACCACTCTCTCTGTAATTTCAGCTGATGACCCCCGAGGAGGAGGCGCGCCACAAGTTCATCATGCGGGAGCGGGATCGCGAGAGGAAGCGGATCAAGCGCCTCAATCCCGAGTACCGGCGAATGGAGCGCGAGCGCGATCGATTCCGCAAGAAGGCACGACGTGCTAACGTAGCATTTTTCCAATATTCTATATTATCTATATTACATAATCCCACACTCGAACAATCGCACACTCGAATCACACGACACATACATGGCTTGAGATTAGGGGGTAGGGGCTTAGAAGATCCCGGGACCGTTGACACTTATTTAACCCTCCGAACCAGACAAACTCCCACAGTTTCTGTGGTTCGCAACACTGTGCTTTAATACGATTTCCCCCATTTTTTCCCCCTCTCCGATTGCAGTTGACCCCCGAGGAGGAGCTGCGACTGAAGATGATCCAAAGGGAGCGGGATCGGGAGAGGAAGCGCATCAAGCGAATGAATCCGGAGTACAGGAGACTGGAGCAGGAACGTGATAGGGACAGAAAGAAGGCGCGACGAGCCAACGAGGCCTTCAGGCAGCTGGAGAAGCTGAGGGATAAGATCCGAAAGGATCGCAAAAAAGGTTTACTGGTCACGGATCCCACGCAGTTGCCGCCGGAGTTCGCAGCCATGATACCGCCAGTGCCTGTGGTGAAGCCCGAGGTGGGTGTGCCACCAGCCCAACCGCAAAGTCAGCAGCAGGCCACGCCACTGCTGCAGCAGCAACAGCAGCAGCAGTTGCAGCAACATCAGCAGGTGGCGCAGCAGCAGCAGCAGCAGCATCAGCAACCTCCGCCCACGCACCTGCAGGAACAGCAGTTGAGTCACCAGCTGGCGCATCAGCGGAACCGCATGATGTCCAGCCAACTCACCCAACTGGCCACGCCCCCCGCCCATGCATCGCACCTGCAGCAGCTGAACAAGTTGCAGCAACTCTACCCGCCACGGAGTTTCGGCCATCCCGCCCTGCCAATTGCCGGAGTGACGCTGATGCCGCAGCTCTGCCACCCCATCCTGCATCAGAACCTCAGTGCCACTCTGTACGCGGGTCCACCGAATGGCATCAAGCAGGAGTACGGTCAGGATATCTCCGCCTCGGCAATGGCGGCAGCTCAGGCGGCGGCATTGGCATCGCTGAGAAATCCCCAGCATCAGCAAGATGACGCCGAAATGGTCATAAACCTCGAGCCGGAAATCGTACTCCAAACCGGACCCGATGTGAATCCCGCCCAGCCCCCGCCGCAGCAGCAGCATCATTTTAGCGCCCACCAGCAGCAACAGCAACAGCAGCAGCAACATCATCTCCAGCAGCAGCAGCAGCAGCAGCATTGCAACATGTTCCAGCATATGGCTCCCCAGGCGCACATGCAACACATGCGATCCCTGCCACCTCCGCCGCCGCCCGCTTCGCTGACCTTGCCACCGCTGCCGCCCCCGCCACCTGCAACGCACCAGCAGCAACAGCAACCAGCGCCGCCGCAGCAATTGCAACACGCTCCGCAGTGAGATATTCTCGCCAGTAGTCCTAAGCTCAACTCTCTAGCCAGCTAAACGCATCCGAAAGTTTGAGGGCACACACGCCTGGAGTTGTGATCTAAAAAGTTTCATATGTGATTTTAAAATCCCTAATAGCTCGAGCACAAAAAGATTGGTGAATTCACAGTTTTCAAAGTATTCATGATTAGAAGTGTATGTTTGTTAAAAATATTTTAGAAAACATTTCTCTTTTTTTTTAGAGCATTATGTACTTTTTAAAGTTTTCCTTGTAATTTTTTTAAACTTCACTATATTAATAATATAATATTATTAATTCACTTCTATCTCAGCTCAAATTTAAGAGATCTGTACATAAAATTCTTTAAAATTTAAATGAATGTGTTCAAAAGAACTGATTCCCCTGATGCCCAATATAATTTAAATCACAATTAAACATTAACCAATTCACAGTCTTTAAAATTTCATGATTAAAAGAATATGTTTGTTAAAAATATTTTCAAAAACATTTATCTTTTTTTTTTGAGAGCAATATATTCTGTTCAAAGTTTTCCTTGTTATTTTTAAAATTTTTTTTATATTATTAATTTATTTTCTCATCTCAAATTTAAGAGATCTGTACATAAAATATTATTTCATTACATAGAATTCTTAAAATTTTGAATGAACGTGTTCAAAAGAACTGATTCCCGATATTCTCGATATCATTCAAATCACAATTTACCATTTTTCTACCAATAACCATCGAGTAGTATCAGCCTCAAGAAACAACTTAATTTTTGAATGAAACACACGTTGTGATAAAATGCACCTTAAGCTTAAATGATCATTGAAGGTGGGAAAACTTATGCTGATCGTTCTTTTCTTTAATCTCTATAATATAAAATATTTTGTTATATGAAAATCCTGTTAACCTTAAGTTGTACAAGTTCGTATTGATTGCAATCAATCGCATAAAGCTTTCCCAACTATCCTGTGGTAGTCACAACTCCCTAGGATGTGTGCCAGTATCTCATACGCACACACTCGCACTGAAACACACCCATGTTCATTTTTATGTATGTAAGTAGACGCCATTTGAAAAATGCCGATACGTATTATGTTGCGTTACGCAATCCGGATTACATTAGTTTAGTGGGCTTCCCCGTCATAATTTGTTTATGTCGTTTAAATCATCGTTTAAAGCATTTCTCTGTTTTTTAGGTCTGTACGTATTTTGTTTAGTCGCTAAGTGATAATACAATATTTTCAAGTTTAGGATGATACGATCTACAATACGATAAAACGATAACTGTATACCTATATGATATAATGATATAGTATGGCCAGCCGCGAAATAATTATTACGAATTTATGCGCAAAACAAACGAGCGAAATATAAGCAGCAAACGAAAATTGCTAAATGTGAAATGGATGTGTATATAAGGGGGTTTACTGGTATTTTGTCATACTTAAATATAGTAGGTATTAGAAAATTAATTTAAATAGAAAACTGATAAGATAGAAAATCAACTTTAAGTTGCACTCACTTGTTATCGTCTAGAACCGAGTTGAGTGCCTCTATCCACTCCGGATCGATGCTGCCGTCGCAAATGATCCACGAATGGACCTGGGATGGCTCCTGATTGACTGCCACCGCAGTGTGGGTGAGTACTCCATCCTGCCACTGACGAGTATCGGCATCCAGGCGTCCCAGCAATTGGACCCGACTCATAGACTTGGGACTGATGGTGTGCACTTTCAGTTGGGAGCCACTCAGAGCCTGTTTAAGGAGCGCCATGATGGTGGACTTTCCACATCCCGGTGGTCCCACCAGCACCACTCCCATCCGCTTTTGAAGCTGCTCGTGCAGCTGCAAAGCCTTTTCAATTTGCCTCTCGCTCCGACAGAGTCCCAGTTGCGCAAAAGCGGCGGATAGAGATTGATGGAGCTGAGTTTCTGGCGCCGGCGAGCTGTCAATCTCCGGGAAAACATTCCGAAGCAGCATCTCAAATCGACCGACATCATGAGGGGCCAGCTTGGACATGGTGGATGAACGCAAACAGCGAACCACCACCGACATCTCCTCGTTGGCGGTGGACTGTGTGTTTTTCTCGCCGGTGCCGGTTAATTGCCCCCTCAAACCCTCGCCGCACACCAGCAGCACTGTCTTCAGTTCCCGGAGTCCCCAGTCGTAGTGCCGCTGGGCAGAGAGCATCTTGCCGCACAAATCGAACAGCTCCACGATGCGGCAGGCGATGGAGGCGGCCTCGGAAAAGCCCTCAACGAAGAGCATAACCCGGGCGATTTCCCCCGGCTCCGGCTGCTGCATCACAATGGGGCGGAATAGAGCCTGGATGTTGCCGGGCAGCTTTTGGCGACCACCGTACTCAGCTCCGGCCGGATTCAGGGTAACAAAGATGCCGCAGTGTTGGTTGAGTTGGACCTAAGGGAGGAAAAGGGGTATTGTTAATTAGGTATGGTCTTGAGAAAATAATAAACCCAATTTTAAAATATAATAGAAAATAATTAGTTAAAGATTTATATACCCTTGCAGAGGGTATTATGATTTCAGTCGGAAGTTTGCAACGCAAAAATAAATTTGAAAAAATGACATCTTCGGTGTTTTTTTACATATCACCTTCTTCTCTTGGGAATGTAATTTTTTTAACATTTCTGAATTTCGAATTAAACAACAATATCGTATAGCTGCCATAGGAGCAATCGGAAAATTAATGTGAAATATTAGGAAATTTAACATTTTTCCGATGTGTAAATAATAGGAATGATCGCAAGGGTCGAAGCCGAAGCTAGCTTTTTTATACTGTTAAATGTAATAAGAATTTAAGATTTTTTTCTTGACCCCTATAAGGTACCCATTCCAAACGTAATCCAATTCAACCAATCATTCCATAATTCCTTTCACACCAATTTCAACTTCGACCCGCCTAATAACTCATCCTGCTCACCTGTCTCTCGCTAATCTGGACGCTGTTGGCCCGCTCCTTCAGGGCGCTCTGGATGGGCTGGATCAGCATGGAGATGGACGACAGAGTGGCCTCCTGCAGCCGGTTGAACTCGTCAAAGCAGCCCCACGCCCCGCAGCGGGCCAGGCCAGTGAGGATGAGGCTCATCGATTCGGTGTCCACATTCTGCAAACAATCCATGGCATAATGACGTATAGCAGTGGAATTACAATGCACTGGGCGACAAGAAGAGTGGGCTCTTAAGGGCTATGCAATATTTTTTAAGAGAATAATAGTTTCTGGCCATCTACTAACATTAAAAAGTTTGTTTTAAGAATACATAAAAAAATAACAAGAAAATAAAAAAAGATTACTGAAACAGGTACCATAAGTAAAATTATAAGCAAATCATACTTTAGAATAATCTAAAAAATATTTTAATATTATAGCTTTGGTTGCTTTGTCCTATGAAATGTTTTCCCTCACTTTAAAATATTTTTTTAGTTACGCTAAGTGATTTGTAAGGATTAGATGCATTTAAGCACGACATTTTTGAAAGTGCACCCCCACCCACCTCGTCGCAATTGAAAACCAACACCAAGCGACCCAACATGGCCCCCAGGGCCTTGACGCACTCCGTCTTGCCGGTGCCAGCCGGGCCAAAGGGATTACCGCCCAGTCCCATGTGCATCGCCTGCGTCAGGATGAGATAACAGCGGTGGGTGAGCCGCGTGTGGACCAGCTTGCTGGCCTGGCCCAGAAACTCGTAGGCGTATTCAAATTCGGCATAAACCATGCGGACGCAAACTTGTCGATTGGCATTAACTCCACCTCCGCCCGATGTTCCGCCCGCTTTCCCCAGGTAATATCTGAGTTGACACAGCCAGTGCCAATCGCTAGTGTGCACGACATTGTGTTTCTGGAGCTGCTCCACCACACCGGAGTAGTGCACCAAATCCAGCAGAAGGGCCCTTAGTTTGAGGCTGATCAGTGTTCCGTTTTGGGATTTGTGTTTCAGGGCGGCCAAGTGGTTGATTTCATCCTTCAACTGCTGCTGCAGTTTTCCCAGGGACATTCCACCGATGGCCTGCTCCGCCTGGCGGGTGAAGTGGAGGGCTCTGGCTGTGGCCAACACCTGGCTGGCGTACTTCTTGAGGACCTTCTCATCCAGGTTATCGCTTCCTCCGGTGGTGCTGGTGTAGCACTCGTGGATCTGATCGCGCAGTGTATCCTGCACTACTGTCACCAGTTGATTCAGCCAGTGCTGCAAATTATGTGCTTAAATATTTAAATATAATTTAAATTTCGGCCAAGAGACTCACCTCGATGTCGCCCTTCATCTCGATGGACTGGATTAGCTTGAGCTCATCCCCTTCGGCACTGTGCACGGATATAATGCTGTACTGATTGATATCGGAGGATGTGGCTGGAGGATTGGGGGCCACCTGCCGGATGCCGAGACTGTGGCAGCCGGGGAATAGCTTGCGGATGTGCCGCTGGATGACATCCGCATCCTTGCTGGCCTGTCCGAGGAGCTCAAGTAGATCGTCATCTCCCAGGAAGTAGAAGCGGGGAAAGGAGTTGCGCTTGTCCTGCGAAAGGGATTATATATCCTGATGGATTGTGCGATTTGCTGGAGTGCGAAAGCCACTCACGGTTATGTAGCTCATCAGGTTCTGCTGGCACCTGGCCAACTGGGTCTCCAGGGCATTCACGATGGTGCTGATGTTGTTAATCTTCGTCAGCGAAGTTACCCGCGGATCCATCTCGATTTCCCGCATCACGAAGCGAAAGTCCTTGTCGATGCGCTTGAACAGCGCCTGCTCCTGTTGTAGGGTTCCAGATCCAAACACGGGCTCCAAGTAAACCCAACTGAAAAATAAGGGATTTTTTAAATTAAATATGTAAAGCCAAAGTTTATGAATGCTAACAAATAAATATTTTTAAATTCAGTAAAAGTTATGATACTGAAAAATATGGTATATAAAAATAAAATTAAATATGTAAGGCCGAAGATTAATATTATCAAATAAATATTTTTTAATTTAGTAAAAGTGATTATACTGAAAAATATGGGGTTTTTAAAATTAAATATGTCAGGTCGTAGTTTAATAATAACAAATACCATTTTAATTTAATTTTTCAGCTCACCGTCTCTGTGAATGATTTAGGCTGCTGAGAAGTGCATCCAACGTATTCAAGCGGCTTTCCCAAAGCTCTGCCTGATCCGAAAAGCTGTCGAAAGCAGCCGAGTTCTTGGCCGATTGCAGCAGGGACTGGTTGTCCCCGATCTTGTTGAGCACCTCCTGGTAGTCCTTGATCAGGGAGACACTCTGGCCCGACGCATCCGTTCTGGTGATCAACTTCAGCTGGGCCGTGACCGACCACTGGTCGAGTTCCACCAGAGCCTGTCTCACGATCTGTTCACTCGAAGCCTGCCTGACTATACTTCCGATCTCTGGGGCAGCCGACTGCAGGACCTCAAAGTCCTGCAGGATATCCTGCAGGAGTATGGAGTGCAGGGGCTTGGTATCCTTGTGATTGAGGAGCTGAAATATTCGAGCCCAATGCCGTTCACTCAACGAATCCGATTGGAGTTGCTGCAGAATTGGCAGAGCCGACTGAAGTCTCTCCACCTGCTGGCGGATTCGCTTGGAGGGCAAATCAATCGAGGCATGAACAGAGCCCTCCCACTTGCCAATAAATTCGTTGAGGACATAGGGACGCCGCCTGTAAATGGCCCACTCCTCCTGGAGAATCGGCTGCAGTTCGGTGAGGAAACTATCGTAGACCTGCCATTGCCTCGATTGCTGCTCCATTTGCTCCTCGATTTCCGTGAAGGGAGTGAGCGTCTCCGCAGGGAATTCCATGTTGAACTTGGAGCACTCCTCCAGGAGGTGCTTCTTCTTCTCCTGCAACTGCTGCCAGTGAAGTCGCCGCTCCTTGAAAACCTCCAGAGTGGAGTGCTCGTTGGCCTCCAGCTCGGCAATGGTGGATTCCCAGCGGAGCAGAAATTTCTCTGCCTCGTTCTTCAGATTTTGCAATTGCGTCTCCGCCTGATTTTTGATCATGTCCACTTGTCGCTGGAGAATCACCGCATGGTTCTCGAGAAGCGGCTGCAACTGTTCCCATTGCTGCAGGATTCCGGAGAGAGCGGTGACTCGCTCCTTGCACCAACCCGCCAGGCAGGCATCCTTTTGCCTCACCGCCTCCAGGGTTTTCTCGATTTGCGGCAACTCGCTCATTATCTTCTCGTACTTCATTCCCGACTGACTGATGCTGCCCTCGTCCATGGGCACGTTTTGTAGGAACTGCAGGGCGCTCTGCAGGAACTCCTGGATCAAACTCACATCCGTCAGGATGGCCGTCCTCAAACTATTCGCCAGCGCCTCCCAGTAGCGTCTGCTGATGTATTCTATATCCGATCTCAGGAGCAGCACATTAATCACTATGCAGTCGATGGACTCCTCGGACTGCTGGAGCTTCGCCAGCTGTTGACTGAAGTGCTTGCAGGCCCGGAAGTTGCGATCCCAGTCGGCGGCCTCGTTCAGATGAATGCCACACAGCTGCTCCACGTCCACGCATCCCAAGGCGATCCAGGGCAACCAGATGGTCTTGAAATCCTCCAGCTTGTCAAACAGCTCAGCTGCCCTCTGGTACAGCGGTCCAAAGTGATGCCGATTCACGGTGACCATGGACTTGAAGAGCTCCTGGCTGTGCTCCGAGAGTCCATGAAAGTTGCAGGGTCTCTCGATGAAGCGTCTCAGCTGACTGAAGTACAAGTCGCGAATCTCCTCCTCCGGCGGACTGTAGATCAGCTCCCTCTGTCGCAAAGTCAGCTTGACATGTATGTCCGGCAGCTTGTTGTTCATGTCGAGCAGCCCAAAGATGTACTGGTATTCCAGCACCTTGTACAACTGGTGGTCCCAGTGCAGCTTGAAGGCATCCAGGTGGGTGTAGCCCTGGCGCTCCAAGGTGGCCACCAGTTCGCGCAGATGGCGCAGCTCGTCCTTCCAGATTTGATTTTGGGTAAACAGATCGGTGGACATGAGTTTCATGACCTGAAAGGGATCGATATGGCTTGGATTATATATTTTGTTTAAGTGATCTTTGTAGACTAACCGTTCTCTTGGCCTGCTCGTGATATCCCACCAGGAGTGTGTTGTCCTTGGAGAGTTTCGAAACGGCCGCCTGCAGGATGTCAACGTATCGCTGGACGGAGGACTCGTCCTGCCAGGCAACCGTTTCGCTCTGCACCAGGCGCTGAAGCTCCAAGGCGTTCTTCAGCATAATGGGCCGCTGGCAGGGAATCATCCGATCCCCGATTGTGTTGTGAAAGGTGGCGATCTGCTGCAGTCGCCGGGCATAGCACATGTACTTGGCTGCGTGGGTGGCGGCGGCTCGGAGTTCCAGGGGCACGCTATAGCCGAGATTCTCAAACTCGCGCACATCCTGGCAGAAGGTCACCAGCTTGGGGTTGAAGGTCACGCGCATCAGTTGGCGACCCTCCTTCTCGAACTTCACCACCGCCTGATCGTCGCGAAGTCTGATGGGAAAATAAAGTTTAAATTTAAAATGCAAATTAAGCATACACCAAAAGAAATGATCTCAAAAAGTAAACTATTAGTACATTAATTGAACGCTATAGTCGAGTACTTCGACTATCAGATACTCGTTACTCAGTCAAAGCTACTGGCTCCATCAGCCATTTCAATGCCTTTCGAAATGTAGAACAAATTTTTCAAATCGTTAAAAAGTTATGAGCAAAAAACTTTTTAATGAGTGGTCCGATTTGAAAAATTTCTTCTACATTTCGAAAGGCATTAATAAACACAACAAAATTGCATAAGATTTTTTTTTAAGATGTGGGCGGCAGGCACATTTAAAATAGGCGTAACGGGTATAAATATTACTACTAGTATATTTTTAAAATTTTTTGACTCACCTCAGCTCGCCACTTTTCACAGCCGTGGAGCACTGACCCGACCAGATCTCAAAGTTTGTCCGCAGCAGGGATTCGGTCTCCTCCTTGATCTCCTGCACTGCCTTGTTGATCTTATCGAAGCCCTCGCGTCCGCTGATCAAATGGCTGACCTTCTCGATCTCCTGGATCTGATGCTGGACCACCTTCAGCCAGCGGCACTCGTTGCAAATGACCGACAAGTGGCCCGTGTCCGGTTCCATGTTGGAGTCCACCATCGCCTTGCGCAAGTCCTGCAGCAGGATGTGCAGCGACTGCAGGAACTGCTCCCTTTCGATGGTCAGCAGTTCCAGAACAGCGGGTCGTTGGATGAGGGTCTCGTATTTCGAGAAGATGAAGATCACCTGACGCGGATTGCTCAGGTGGTTGTGCAACTGACACTTCAAAGCGGCAGCGATTCGCTCGTCGATTGGCTGAAGGACCTGCTCAAAGTGCTGCAGAGCCTTGTGCCACTTTGACTGGCCCAGCGAGGATGTGTCAAAGATGTTGAAATCTAAGAAATGTTTATAATATTTACAATTTAACTATACTTTTTCCGCAGACTCACCCGTGAAAGGAGCCTGCTCCTGGAACATCTCCTGCAGTTCGGCGTCATCGAGCAAGGTGGCAATCTGTTTGTACAGCTGCTTGATGCTTCGGATCTCACTGAGCCGCTCCTTGAATTGCTGTCCTCTTTTCGCCGCATGGGGATCCCCCAGCCATGGGTGCTTCACGTAGTTGGGCCAGAAGAGACGAGTGAGGGAGTCGCAGAGCTGGATCCACGCGTCCACCGTGTCGATGCTCTGACCCATCAGATTGTTGACGTGGCTGGAGTTCAGACTCCAGATGTCCTCAGCCAGCAGTTGGGTCAAGCAGACCTCCAGCAGCCGCTTTCCAATGATGTCCAGGAGGTCCGTCATCCGTTGCTGAGGATAATTGTAGGGTAGCCTCCACAATTCGTCCAGATTGTTGTGGGCATGGTCGAGGAACTCCTCAATAGTTCCACTCGGATTGGCTCCGTCGATGGTACTGAAATGGCATATTTAATTGAATTCGTTGGGAACACTTTTATCACCTTTTACCTGATTTGTTTTTCGATATTTTCCAAAACACCAATAAACACCTGCGCTGCTTCTCGGTCTAAACGGGAGCTGGACTTTTGGCCCAGTTTCTGTTTCCAATATTTGATCTCATCTCGCAGACTTGTTATGCCTGTTAAATAAAAAAAATTCAATAAAAAACAAGAAAGGAAGCTAGCTTCGGCCAGCCGAAGCTTATATACCCTTGCAGATCATTCCTATTAATTAACAAATCGCAAAAATGTTCAATTTTCTAATATTTCTCATTAATTTTCCGCTCGTTCCTATGGCAGCTATATGATATAGTCGTCCGATTTTGATCAAATTAAAATTAAAATTTGGAAATATTTAAAAAGAGTCATATCCTAGAGTAGAAGATAATACAATAAAAACCAAAGAAGCTAGAATTTATTTCCTATTACTTTTCCATTAATTTTCCGATCGTTCCTATGGCAGCTATATGATATAGTCGTCCGATTTTGATTAAATTAAAATTGAAATTCGGAAATATTTAAAAAGAGTCATATCCTAGAGTAGAAGATAGTACAATAAAAACCAAAGAAGCTAGAATTTATTTCCTATTACTTTTCCATTAATTTTCCGATCGTTCCTATGGCAGCTATATGATATAGTAGTCCGATTTTTTAAATAATTAATTCGAAATTCAGAAATAATTAAAAAATAACATCCCCAAAAGTAGAAGGTAATATTTCAAAAAACACCGAAGCTAGAATTTTTTAAAGTTTTTTTTTTCCGATTGTTCCTATGGGAGCTATAAGATATAGTTGTCCGATCCGGTCGACTCCGACATATATACTACCTGCAATAGAAAGAAGACATTTGGGAAAGTTTTATCCCGATAGCTCAAAAACTGAGAGACTAGTTTGCGTAGAAACAGACAGACGGACAGACGGACAGACGGACAGACGGTCAGACGGACAGACGGACAGACGGACAGACGGACATGGCTAGATCGACTCGTCTTGTGATGCTGATCAAAAATATATATACTTTATGGGGTCGGAAACGTCTCCTTCACTGCGTTGCAAACTTCTGACTGAAATCATAATACCCTCTGCAAGGGTATAATAACATCCCCAAAAGTAGAAGGTAATATTTCAAAAAACACCGAAGCTAGAATTTTTTAAAGTTTTTTTTTTCCGATTGTTCCTATGGGAGCTATAATATATAGTTGTCCGATCCGGTCGACTCCGACATATATACTACCTGCAATAGAAAGAAGACTTTTGGGAAAGTTTTATCCCGATAGCTCAAAAACTGAGAGACTAGTTTGCGTAGAAACAGACAGACGGACAGACGGACAGACGGACAGACGGACAGACGGTCAGACGGACAGACGGACAGACGGACAGACGGACATGGCTAGATCGACTCGTCTTGTGATGCTGATCAAAAATATATATACTTTATGGGGTCGGAAACGTCTCCTTCACTGCGTTGCAAACTTCTGACTGAAATCATAATACCCTCTGCAAGGGTATAATAACATAAAAAGTTTATTTAGTGTGTAAATGAAACTTCTTTGAGATATTTTATTGATTTTAAATTATTTAATAATTTAAATGTTACTCAAACTCACCGCTCTGAGGCAATCCCAAGCTGGATCCCAAGTTCTGGTGCAAGTTTTCCAGAATTCCACTCAACTCGGGTCCATATTCGTTGCGCTGAAAATAAACAGATATTAGAAAGTAGAGCAGAGGTTAGATTACCCATAAACCTATAGGAAAAAACAAATTGGATGGCAAAGTATAATTGACAAAATGAAATTGCAGACTGGATTGAATTATGCGCAAATGCGATTAAGAGTATGGAGAGTGCGACAGCGAGCATGGCAAGTTAAGCCGAGTCAGGGAATTAGTCAGGTGGAATATTACACTAGACTGCACTACACAGCACTACACTACACTGGACTACAGACTTACCCGGGCCGAGTTGGCAGAGGGCGAGAAGACCCGAGAAACGGAATTGTAAATCGACTTGACCAGGCCACCTTCCAGGGTTAAAATGCCCAGCAGGGGCTCACTACTTCTATCCTCCCGGTGTTGTTGCCCCACCTGCGGCACCTTGTAGAAAAGCAGGCAGAGCTCCTCATTCGGTATACGATGGTGGAATCGGATTTTGCCATCGGATTTACTGTGCACCGCCGAGATGACCGTGTGCTCCTCCTGTTCCAGAAACTCCAGAATCATGGCCGTTTGTTCGTCCAGTTCCGAACCCGGCAAGCGGGCGGAAAAGTATTCCACTGAAGGATGGCGATGTTATTTATGTCACTGCGAATGGATTAAACATTCCGATACTTACCGGAGGTATTAATTATAAACTTAGTGCGCTGGGTCATCTTGATTTAGATTTTTCGCATCCAACGCCCGGGTTAACTTTCCGTTTTCACCGAAAACTCTTTCACTTTTCCCAAAACCAAACTATTTGTTGTCCTTTCCGGTTGCCATAGGCAACTCGAACAATATTGCCCCGAAGTGGTGGTTCACACACAGAAATTTAGGATCAGACAATCTGATGGTATATTTCTATAATATAAAAAGTAATGTAATATCTTGAAAATTAAATTAATTAATGTTGATTTTATTTTAACAATAACAATAACGTTACTCTTTAACGTAAACTTTTTTTATAGACTATCCTTAATTAAACCTTTCGTATAGTTAAATTATTATTTTATTATTATTGTTATCTACTATTTTTTTAATAATGTCTTTTTATTTAGGATTTTCCCCAGTGTACTAGCTGCTGTTACTAAGGAGGTGGTGGGTTGTTCGTATTTTTTTCTCTTTGCACCTGTTGTTTGCCTTTGGGCATATGACACGTGTTGTAGTTGCCATGGCTCGTAGGTGGAGTGAGGTTGGTAGGTGGCTGGGTGGTTTTTGTTTGTCCCTGTCTAGTTTTCATGCATCCCCTGGCATTACCTCAATCCACTCTGGACGCCTGCTAATGAAACGAAGCACTCGACTGGGCGGCTGCACTAAAAATGCCTCGGCAGGTTTATATCATTTGAATGCCCATTAATTGAATTGTGCGGGCGTGCTCAAATGCCATTTTCCAGGCAGCTGGGACGAACACGGGAAAGGACTCTGGTCAGGACATGACCAGATTCGACAGAAGCCAGTTTTATGACTTTTCCAAAGCTGTAACAACTCAATCTTGGGGGACAGCAGGTGATGTGTCCAGTTTGGGGCGAGAATATGACTTATCAGGAGTCCATCGAAATTATTTTATTACTGAATTTTCCAAATTTTGGATAGAGATCCGTGCTTTTAAAATAAATAAATGTATTTTATCATTTTTTAATATGTTTAAAACTATATCGATTATTTTTTAAATCCTTCTTATTAAACCTATTTTTTTTCTGGTAATCCGAATATATTTATTAAATATTCTATTGTCAGCCATTTATTTTCTATATCCCCTCTTGCTACTTGGGCCAAAGTTCTCTTGAGTCTAATCGCATTTTCCATGAGCTTAGGGATCCAAGTTGCGCCTAAAGTTTCGGCATTGGTGCAAAACTTAGTTAGGGCAACTAACTCCGTAAACTATGAGTTAGGCTACCGCATATCCCAGGCGGAGGAAGGCTCAGCCTACAAAGGACCAAGAGGAAACTCCACGCAAATTTAATAACCGATGCAGGCTGGGTGGTCTGGGTGATTCGCAGGATGGGTGGTGGTCCCCAGGAAAAGCCAAGCATCAAGCGCTTAAGCTGTCTGCATGTGTTTGATACAGCAAACGCCGAAATGTTTGCCTTCTACTTCCTTTCAGCCATCCCGTTCACTTTTTCCCTCTCTCTTTTGTTTGGAATCAAACAAAGTTTCATGACCAAAAAACGGGAATCCTTTTTGCCATGCAAAAACTGTATTTTTTTTGTTTTTTGTGCCAAGGCTCAAACTGTTACTACTGTCAACACTCGAATTGCTGTGGCAGCCTTCAGCCATTTAAGCAAATTAACTGTATGCTTAAATTGTTCTGCAAATCCTTCTTCCTGCTTAATTTTCCCTTAAACTTTCTCTTTGATTTTAGTCATTCATTAGACAGGCAAGAAGAACCGACTTTTTGTTTTATTTCTTTTTATATTTGAAGTGTTTTGAAAAGCCTAGAATTTGTCTCTTTTTTGGAATATAAGATTAATTAAGTTTACATTTAAAATTGTTTTGTAAAAAGTCACCAAACAGTAAATGATGACTGATTAAGGACAGGCATTGACTGCCATCGCAATTTATGATCTGCAGCTCATTTGAGGATTTGTCACCCATAAGGGAATCAAAGCAAAAGCCCTCTAATTGGACATTTAATAAAATGGAACAGAGTATTACATGATAAATACCCAAAAGTGGGCACTAAATTTATTCAATGCTGATTTGGGCTCGAGTCTTTTGGGTTGATTTAACCTAATAGTCGTGATGGTTGCTAGCTGATGGCGATTTATGGTCTTGGGGGATTTTTATGCGGCTGCCAGGGTTGCCAACTACTCGCACTCGTATCGATAATATTTTATGTGTTTCTTTTTTTTTATTGCCTGCGATTACGAGACAGTTTTCTTCTGCGAGGCAGCGAAACCAATCCACTGACAAAGACAATGGAGGAACTTCCTTCGAGGCATGTGGCAATTTTAGTGCTGGCTTGGCCAAGAATTTATGGTTTATGGATTCTGTCAAATTACATGTTATTCTTGCCAGCTTTTCCGACCAACCTTTTGTCTATAAACTGTCAACACATTCAAGGCGTTTGCATTTGAACGAGGAGGAGAATGGTAAAAATGGTTAGCATGTGTTGGTATGTCTTAGGCTTTTTGCATTGAAATTGCTCTTTGATGTCCCTGTATGTACATTGTTTATTTGTTTGCTTTTCTTATTTCATTTTTTCTACCATAAAGGCATATCAATGTGTAAATTTTTATCGCCCAACAGCTAGGCAACCATAAAGTGGAAATTATATCGAAGATTATGATTGTTCTGGGTTCTACGACATCAAATTTATTGTTGTCCTGGCTAATAAATAAATTTAAATTGAAAACAGAAGAGCAGTTACAGGTCGTGTTTGTAGGGTTGCCAGGCAAATTTGTTCGTATCTGGTGATTGCCAATAAAGATGTGGTACAATAAATGGTTTATGATGAGCTCCAATGGCTTAAAGTGCTAGAATGGAAATTTAAAATGACGATCTTTGTGTTGGGATGTATAATGTAAAATTGTTTTGTTTTCCAAAAATCACCATGAAAACAAAGCGCTTCCTTTAATCCTTCTAGCAGTTACAATCTTCCTGAGTAAATTTATCCTTCCCTGTTCAATACGATTCGGTTAATTGCTCAAATAGCTAAAATGGCAAACAATGAAAATGGGCTAAACTCTTGATGGTCATTGCATTTGAAATATTTTCGGGCTCTCAAACAATACCAAATGAAACGACAAATAAGCCGAGAAGCCCAGACGAATCTAATTGGGGCCGAGTGGGTGGAAGTTTTTGAAAAGAAATCAGGTAAAGTTGCCGAGCGATTGTTTATGTTTGTGGGTGCTTGTGTGCTTGTAAACAATGAATATGCATGACTTGCCATGAAGCATGCCACACATGCAACAACAGAAATCGAGAGACAGGAAAAGCAACTTCAATTTGCGAAAGTGATATTCTGCTCGGAAAAAAAGAGGCAAAATGCCAACGAGCATTGGAAAGAGATGGCAGGCCAAGGCAGAAAGAGATGGCTGGCACACTCCTCGATTGACATGCATAACGTTGATTAATTAATGCCGTCGATATTGCCGATGACAGATGCTGGAATTTCCTCCGCTCGAGCGGAAATAGAACTTAGTCGGGCTGCCTGGATTTTCTACCTCTGGCTTGAAAGTTAAGAGCATCTTAGCCCGTTTCATTTGCGAAATGTTTGCTATTCAGTTTACACAAGTGGGGAGTTTTTCGATTGGGAAATGCATTTCGAGTCCCCTCGCATCTTCAAGGAGCCTTCAGTGTCTGCGGCGCATAATCCGGCAATTAGTAAATGTCAAATTCCCAGCTCGCATTGAAAGTCAAAATTTACAGCCTGCGAATCGCAGTTATATATCATCGGGCGGTCCAAGGAGACGGCGCCTGTAAGTATGCAACGGAAATTGCAGCTACGCATGTGATTATGTTGTCTCTGTCTCCGAGGAGCGCATATGTAAGTATGCAGGAATACGTAAGCATCTGCCATATATATATTTGCCAGTGTGTGCGTGGCTGGGTCCTTGGCTTGATTAAAAGCCTTGTCCCGGCGATGAATTGTTGCTGCATACTTTGGGGCTTTCCTGGGGAGCAACACGCGTCCTTAAAGGTGAGCGTCTCAGGTTTTTGAATTTAATGTGCACAAGTTCATCACTCGCAGCACTTCCTTCAAGAATTGAGCTTTCTAGTTACGGAAGAGCATTTCGATCTTGAGCTTACTAGTGAGCATTTCGATCAAGAATTTCCATTTAATGTCTAAACTTAGGAGCATATGTGTTTTATGCCTAACACATTAGTCAAAAAACTCAATCGATATTTGTTATACGGTTCGGTAGGAAAAATTAAAAAAAAAATAAAAAATATAACTTTCTGGGTAAGAATAAACCACTCAATATAAACTTACCAAATTAAAACAAGGTCGATTTTATTGCTAGAACTCAAGATGAATACACTATCGAAACCAGAAAAGGAATTAATCGCTGTAGCTCCTATAGTTCGCGTTAAAAATCCTGATGAAATCAAGAAGCAAATTAATTCAGAGATTTGCGATGAGTATGAATGCAATTTACTCCGCATCGAATTAGAAATTATGAACGCCGATTACGACAACTGGGAGGGCATTTTCAAGGAGACCTTGTTGAGAGTAAGGCCCGAGATTATTATGTGGGAAAAAGCTATGGAAATAGTTTTAAAATTGTTGGAGGACAGCGAAGTCGAGGCGGATGTTAATAATGACGGAAAGGGCTTTTATGTAACAGTCTCGTACAAGCCCACCGAATTCGTTCATATAAAGGTAAATAACAAAGATGACCCTAGGTGCTTTACCTTGCTGAAGGCCTTGGACTGGATTCAGCAGAAACTCATTGACCTTAAGACATCAGTAAGGAAAATTGAAAATGATCAGCAGTATGTTACTGCTCAAAGAGAGAAAATTAACTCGATAGAAACTTGTTTAATGAAAAAGGAAGTATTTTTAGCCCATCAACGAATAACTATTGGAAAAATAAACGAAAAGAAGGATAATTTGCTTGAGGAATCTGATCCGCTTTCGGAAACAAGGAAGGATTTTGAAACCGAATTCAAGGAGTTTATGTCCGAAGTGGAAAAAGACAACGCTTTATTAAACCACATGACAGATGACATTTTACTTTTGCTAAAGAAGCTTTCGACACTTCGGTCTGAAAATTTGAC